TAAGATTCTATTTTAATGTTCTGTGAAGACCTTAAAGGTTTGTTAGACAACATTAGTCAGTAAGCAGTATCAGGAAGACGTAGAAATACAGCAGACAGCTCAGGGAGAAAACTTTGAACAACTTCGTTTATGACCAGACACAGTAAGAACTAAGACATGGCTGTCTACATCAAATTAAAGTGAGGCAAGAAGAGCTCTACTCTGCCATGGGAAAGAAAAGTTAAATGTTATCTAATCAGGTATAAATCAAATAAGACTTTCTGGCCGTGGTGTAAAATCTTTTGGTGGAACACATCATGCTAAAAAAAACACAGGGAAACATGGTGGCGCAAGCATGGTGCTGTGTGGATTTCTTTTTAAAGGGGGAATAAGGAAGTTATATAGAGAAGATATAAGGAGGTCAACACTGCTCGAGCCTGCAAGAAAAGTGAGAGAACCACCTTTAACATGAAACTGAGCAACAAGAAAATTGTTTTGATTAAAGTATATTTATGATCAAGAAAAGAATAAACAAACCTGATGATCTTCATGATTATGCTGTGCACTACTTTATGTACATGTATCACATAAAACATGGCATTCCCAACCTCGGTCCTCGAGGTCCGCTGTCCTGCATGTTTTACAGGTTTTCTTGCTCCAGCACAGCTGATTTTAATTGAAAGCTGATTATCAGGCTTTTGGTCTACTGCAATCATTATAATCAGCTGTGCTAAAGCAGGGAAACCTCTAAAACCTGCAGGACAGCGGGCCTCGAGGACCCAGGTTGGGGATGGCTGACATAAAATACTCTAGCTTGAGTATAAAACAAAGTGTTGCAGCAATGTATTTTTGCGAGTCAATGAACATTAAAGTTATTTTCCACTGAACATGTTTGCAGTGTTTGTCACCCAAAGACTGGCCAACTCCCGCCTGCTGAAGAAAACCTGTGAAAATCATCTCCAGGAGTCACAGACTCATTTGCTGTGCCTCTTTAAAAAATCTGCCATTAAAGGCAATGCTTTTTATGTAGAAAATGAATCAGCTGATTGCTCACCCATTCAAGTGGAAACAAATTACATTATGACAGATTTAGCTAAATTGAATTGATGAATAAGAGTTTAACATACAGGTGCCGTAAATATGGCACACAGCAAACTGACATCTCCTCAGTAGATTGGTCTGGGGGTTGAAAAAACAGAAAGTGCTGCTTTTGGATCCAAGGGTAATGAAAACATTTATTTACCAATTGTATTGTCGCTATCTGTGAACTGGGAATCATTTCAAATGAGCTTTTTGAAATGAGCTGGAAAAACAAAATCAATAAATAAAAGAAAACATTTGTGCAAAGGACTGTTGCATCTTTATTTGAGGATTGTAATGGCTAAAATTGGGTAATATCTTAGCTCTTGTTTGAAAAGTCTCCTTTGATGGGGTTTTAGGGAAGTCTACCTATTTTTTGCAGCCAGGTTTCCTTTTTTCCTTCTGCTACCTGTTTTTATTGTCTTTGACATAACATTTGTTCATGCAGTGACCAGAGTTGAGGAGAGCAGCCGATAACATTACTTAAATAAGGGTAGCATTTGTTTAACATTTTTTACTTTAGTAAAGGCTGAATGTAGTTCCCTAAGAAATTACTAAACTAAGAGTAAAAAAATACTTCTGATTTATGCTGTTTACAAGAAGGTGATCAAAAAGATTGTTCGGGACAAATTCTGGTATTTTCCGATTATTTAAATACATGCCTTTTGCAACCATTTAAGAAATACGTTTCTGCAAATGAAACATTTTTAAAAATTAATCTTTTGTTCAGTAAAAATATAAAAAAAAACACAAAATCTGATGGAAAAGTATTAATAGCAAGTGAAATTATGTCCATGTGATAAGATGATGTCTTAAATTAAGATGTTATTAAAAGAGGGGGGGAAATAAAAATAGTAAAAATAATTAACTCTAAAAATAGGATAAAGTATATTACACTTATAAATATGACTTGATAATCAAATGATTTGCAGTCCAAATAAAAAAAAAACAGTTCTACCAGTAGGTAATGCTTACACAGATGGACAAAATAGTTGTTACCCATTCTTTAATGGATGAAAAACCCACAATGGTCACAGAAATAACTTAAATCTGACAAAAGTAGTAATAAAAAAATCCATTAAAATGTACAACTCAAAGTCTGGCATTACTTATGCAACAAAAATTAACAAAAACGATGGTACCTCTAGAAAAGACAAACAATAATGTGACCAAAGGGACATGTTAAAACAAGGTGTTTGCTATTTAGCATCACAGGTGTCTACAGTCTAACAATCAGTCAATGGGCCTATATATAGGGCTATAGGGAGTCCCTGTGCTATTTGGTACCATGGTGTGTACCACACTCAACATGGACCAGAGAAAGCAAAGGAAAGAGCTGTCTCAGGAGATATAAAGAAAATTATAGACCAACATGTTAAAGGTAAAGGCTATAAGACCATCTCCAAGCAGCTTGATGTCCCTGTGACTAAAGTTGCAGATATCAATCAGAAATGTAAGATCCATGGGACTGTAGCCAACCTTCTTGGATGTGGCTGCATGAGAAAAATGGATGACGAGACAAAGAACAGATACTTTTTCTTTCATTAAACATCAAGAACCAACAATTTTGTGTGCTATCATTCAGTTTGTCAGGGAAGGATAAAGGTCCTCAGTCAACATCTATTAATTACTACTCCAGCAATGTCTACTGTTTAGTAGTAACCAGTAGCAATGCTCTTACATGAATATAAGTAGTTACTACCCACCTTTTACATTGACACCTGCAAATATCAAGTTAGCTTAGAGGGTAAGGAAAGCTTGCTTTGGCGGAGTATTTCTCTGTTATAAGAATGCTTCTTGCTCCATTCAAACCATATTTTTTATGTAAAATGCATTTATTTGAGCAACAGAGATGAGTATAACATAGATTGCAACTTTCTCTTTGCTAATTCAGAACCTCTTACTTATTTAATGTTTATTGTTATTTTAATGATTAAACGTTAAAGAAACAAAGCATGTCTATTTCTTGCCTTTCTATTTTCTCCAATCCCAAGTTCTGAAGAGAGTCTCTGATATCCTTGATATCTCTCGGCTTTGCATCCAATCAAGGCAAGTCTTGTCATGCCTTTTCCAGAGAGCAGAATGCCATCCTTCACCATTGCACTGCTTCTACCAAATATTGCTAGGTGTTGATTTTAAATAAGCAAACTTATAAAATATGTTACCAATTTAACATAAATAGGATATATGGGGATTTGAAAGTTTAATATTGGTGTAACTGTAAGTAAACAGCATTTTTATCTTCAGGCTCTGGTAAAACATGGAAATACTCTTACTTTAGACTGCCAGCCTACTTGGCTGGTATCATTTAGGAATGTATCTCAAATTTCTTTCTATGTGTTGTGGCCCCTATCAGAGCATGTGAACGGAGCTCTGCACAATTCCCCCTCCTCGCTCAGGAGGATGTTTACTTATTCGCTCTGATGCTCAAAGTTGCGCCAGGACACTCCGCTCAAAATCTGCCCTGCGCTCACCGTAATTTTCCTGCTGCTCCGGCGAAATCGCTCCATGCTCGCTCAGATTTTTAGTAGAAAGCATTTTTCTGATATTTTTCCTACATGTAATTATGGCAGGTCCCTGGGACACACGGTGTTTAATGATGTGACCGATACATGTGTATAGTCTTATTTAACTGGCTGTTAAATTTCTCAGCTGTGAATGTAACACCTCGCTCCATTCATGTTGCCCCGCATTTCCTATTTAATTATTAATTTATGTTCCTAGACTACAATAAAATAAGTCACTTCTCATCCCATTGCAACTGAGATAATAGTGTATAATGCATGTATGCGACCCATTTTCAAAAACAGGCTCTTAACACGACAATCACTTTATGTAAACCCGCTCTGTATTGTTAAGTATAGTTGGTGTATGTTTTTATGATATTGTATCCCATTTTTTATTACACAATATGCAATCCTCGTCTCTGCGATTCTGTGGTAAAGTTGAAACATAGACTATAACAGATTATAGGCACAGACTGCAGCATAGGCATTGGCCTAGGATTTAAGTCAAACATGAATTGAAATAAAGTCTATTCCACTGACTTTGATTGATTGATTGTGAGCACGTCAGAGCTCTGCTCACATACTCTGGCTCCTATACTAGATGAAGTAAGTTGACTGTCAACTTTACCCCGACTGGTGTAGATGTCCTCTGTTCCTGCTGTCTGGCCAATCAGATGGTACTGGTTGAGTCTTGAGCCTTCCTCTGCCACCACCACAGACTTGGCTGCTCCCTGAGTCCAGGTGTAGACCACCTCTGAGACTGGATAGGCATCTAAGAAACCAACCAAATGCATAGAGAGTTCAGAGTCAAAGAGAACAAAATAAAAAACTTAGTTTATCAACCTCTGAGACATTCAAGAAGTGTTTAAAAGAAACTTTGGAAAACACCTTAGGTTTACCTTAGATCCAAAAAACCAATCTGCTTCTCTCCCAAAAGTTCTAAACTTCTTATTGTTGAGGCATCAAAAACACTTTGAAAAACAAGCAAGTGTTAAATTAAACACCAGGAATGGGTGGACATCACATTTTTTGTGGGATAGGTATTGGTGGTGATATGAAGCCTCATGAGGCATTTGAACCGTTTGGCTAATTGCTTCAATGATCGCCACAGTTCATGAAGCTTCATGTAAAAATGTCACCACCTACTGGTGGAGTGATGAACTACAGTTAGTAATATAATCTTGTGATTTTGTTTGCAATAGTTTTTCTTGTTTGTGTTTTTTTTCATTTAAGTTCCTTTGAAATTGTCTGTATAACAAAA